CTTCTCTTTACGTTTGTTTGTATATATATATATATATTAATATATTTATTAAGAATAATATATTAGTACTGATATCAATATTAAAGTAGAAAACAATATATATCATATATAAATATAAATATATATATATATATATGCATGCTAATTTATATATCTATATATCTATACATTTACCTGTCTGCTTTGTTGCATGCAGCACCAACATGAGTAGCTGCAGACAGGGCGCTGCATAAATATGAAAAGGCATCTCCATCTGCTGCTCTTTAACTGCAGCAGCAGCAGCAGCAGCAATCTGCTTCAGCTCCTCAGAAAAAGAAGCAGGTACAGGCAGCAATTGTTGCACCTGCCCATACACCCCACGAGATGATGCACCAGGGCCTGCTGCTAATGTTGCTGCTCCTCCTGCTGCTGCTGCTGCTGCAGCATTGAAAGGAAGCAGCGTCTCCTCTGAATCCTTTCTAAAGTTTCGCTGTGTTCTTCTTCCGCCTAATAAACAAAAACAAGCAATATATATATATATATATATATTATATTTTGTATATACATTTATATATTATATACAGCATATATAGCGGGATTAATATATATATATATATATATGCGAAGGGGAGGCGCCTGCAGCAGAAGGTGATGAGAAGCGCAAATATACATATATATAATATCCAGCATATATAACTAGATGAATATACATATATATTATATGTGTATAAATAAATAAATAAATAAATAAATAAAATATATATATATCAAATACCTGCAGCAGAAGGTGCAGATAACGAGCAGACGCCTGCGAGAGAGCGAAAGAGAGAACGAAGAACGTGAGAAGCCGCTGAGTGCTGCATCAAGTGCAGCAGACCCCCTCCTTCTTCTCTGCATTTGTTTAAAAACACAGACAAAATAATTATAAAATATAATCAAAGGTAAAAAAGAAAGAAAGTCATTGAAATGGAAATAAACATTTAAAAGGATATGCTGAGAAGAACGCGAAAAAAACAAAAAAAATAATGCAAATATAAACATAAAACAAAGACAAACACAAATATAAAGGCAAACGACAGATAATAAATAAATAAATAAATAAATAAATAATACAGGAAAATGTAAGAATAAGAGACAGAAAGAACAAACAACGAAACAAACAACGAGAAAAAGAGACAAAGATAGAAAAAGAAATGAACAAACAATGAAAAGATAAAAGACAGAGACAAACGTAAAAAGAAAGAGACAGAAACAAACAAACAAAAGAAAAGATAAAAACACAAAGAAGAAGAAAAACAGAGATGCAAAGAGATAAAGAGAGAGACAGAGGGAGACAAACAAAGACAGAAACAGACAGAAAAAAAACAAAAAAACAAAAACACAAACAAAGGCAGAGACTGACAGAAGAAGAAACAAAAAAAAACAAAGAAAGAGACAAAGACAGAGAGAGAAAGCGAAAGAAAAGGAGACAGCGGCGAGCAAACAAACAAACAAACAAAACAAACAAAAAGAAGAAGAAAAGAAATAAATAACAAATGAAAATAATATAATAATAAATAACAACAACATAAACAAAAAATGAAGAATAAGCAAAAAGACAAACAAACAAACGTCAAAAACAAACCTAAGGCGATTTATAATAAAAAGAAAAAAATCTTCTATGCTTTGTTCGTCTGCAAACAAAACAAAAGAAAAAACTCTTCTATAATAAATACATAAATAAATAAATAAATAAATAAATAAATAAATACATCGATTATAATAAGCAGACGAGACAAAAAAGCAGCAAACTATTGTTGAAGTAATATAAATAAAATATATATATATATATATGCATATAGATTTATACGTACATATCTATATAGAGATAGATAGGTAGATAGAGCTAGATCCGCCTTATAACCATAGATGCCGCTGGTTGCACGTATACAAATATATATGTATATATGCATATATGCACATATGTATATATATATATATATATATATTTATATATATACATGTATATATACATAGATATACTATATCATTGATTTGTCGGTTGTGTCTTTGTTTGATTTGGTTTTGTTTATTTAAGATTTACCTTCTTTATTTTGTTTTTGCTTTTGTTGTCTTTGAAAATATAAAACTGCAGGAACAGCCTCCAGTAGGGTCTGCAGCACGTGAGAGCCGTTGGGGTGTATCGACAGCTCTGCTGCAGCAGGCGCCGCATATCTAATAAGCGATAAAAAGACATTTAAACATTGTAATCTTGCTTGAATTCTATAATTGTCTCTGCTGCTGTTGCTGCTGCTGGTGTTCGCTTCGTCTTTATTGCTGTTTTTTTCTCTGTTTCTTTCATCTTCTTCGCTGAATGTTCCTTTGAATATAAACAAGGATAATAAAGATATTAATTGCTCGCATACCCAACTGCATTGACGATCAGACAGCAGCAACAAACCCTAAAAAAATAACAAAACAAAACAAACACCGATATATAAAAAATGAAGCACGCATTCATTTTTATTTGTTTTCAATGGCGTTTGCAAACCAAACACTGAATAAATGTAGGACGGTTTAGAGTTTAGGGTTTAGGGTTTAGGGTTTGGGGTTTAGGGTTCGCAAGCGTTTAGGGTTTGGTGTTTGCAAGGGTTTAGGGTTTAGAGTTTCATGTTTGTAAGGGTTTAGGATTCAGAGTTTAGCTTTTGGTGTTCGTAAGGTTTTGGGGTTTAGGGTTTAGGGTTTAGGGTTTGGTGTTTGCGAGGGTTTAGGGTTTGGGGTTTAAAGTTTGGTTTTAATAAAGGTTTTTGTTGTCTCTCATTTTACCCTATTCTTGATTTCTTCCACTGTCGAGGAAACGAAGGCTTCGAACTGCAATTCATCATGAAAAGGACGGTTAGAGATTATTTCTTTGATTCTTTGAAAGTATTCTGCAACATCTTCGGGTTGTTTTCCTTTTTCTCTTTCTTTTCCTGCATTAATTTCTGCATTTAATGCTGGCTTTCCCTGCAGATCGGGGGCCTCAGTCGATTCATCATTGAGGTGTACAGACACCTCAGCATCTGCTTCAATTGCAGTCTTCTTTTTATTCTGTCGCTTTCCTCCTCTTCTTTTCCCCATTTTCTTGAATGTTTAATTTTATTTTCGTCTATTTCGCGTATTCTTCGTTTATTTCCGCAACTTGAAGCCCCGTCGACCGCTCATTGCTGCAGTAGATCAGAGCCAAAGAGATGCGGCATTCTTCTTTTTGTTCTTTGTTTCTATTCAATTTCTTGAGGTGAAGAGTTAAAAAAACAGAAAACAATGAATAAGAACGACAAACTAACAGCCAAAGAACCCCTTTTCCTCTTCTCTTTCGTCAGGTAGGTAGATCAGGTCTTATACAACGACGTAAAAAAAAAGAATAAAACGCTTTTATACATTCAAATATTACATTTTTCGTATTATTATTATTATCTTTCTCTCTCTTCTAAAGCCAATACAAAATCGCCAGCTTGCTGTGGGGCTAACAATACCCAGGGGGCCCCAGGGGCCCCCAAGTGGATCAGAAGAACGACGAGAAGGAAACTCGTAGACAAGAATAGAAATAAATTAAATTAAATTTATATTTAAAAGCAGAGGAAATGCTAGCTTGAATTTAAAGAGCTTTATGTTTGTTCTTCTAAACAAAAACAGAGAAAAGAGTTGTATTGAATTAAAGCCCATCGGAGTTAGTATTGCATCTGTTTGTTTTTCGTTTATTTGTTTGTTTTTTTGTTTGTTTGTTTGGTTTCTGTTTATTTTTTGTTTTTGTTTAGTAAAAAGATTTTATTTAATCAAATTAAATTAACAGTTTGCAGCGGAGCTGCCCTTTGCCTCATGTCGATCTCCAGCCAATTAAGCAAACACTAAAAACAAACATAAACAAAATAAAAATAAATAAATTAAACAAAACAAACAACAAACTCTTAATACCCAACCTGGTGAAGAAGAAGAAGAAAAGAACACCAGGCGGCATACAACCAGCAGCAAGAGCTGCAGCAGCAGCAGCAGCACTTGCAGCAGCAAAAATTGATGCAGCAGCAGCAGCAGCACCGGTACCTGCTGCAGCAGCACTGGAAGCAGTATCAGCGATATCTGCAGCAACAGTAGCACCTGCAGTAGCAGGAAGCCCCTGTAGCAGCAGAAGCTGCTGCACGCTCTTACAGCAGCAGCAAGCAACTGCAGCGGCAGCAAGCAGCAGCAGCAGCAGCAGCAAGTAGCAGCAGCAGTCTGCTTTGCTTATTTTGTTTGTTTGCTTTACTTTGTTTATTTGTTTGTCTTTATTATTTGTTTTTCTCTGTTTTTTCGTCCGTCTGTTTTATTTTCTTTGTTTTATTTGTTTATTTGTTTTGGTGTTAGTTAATATTGAGGCGGCGTGCACTTCAGCTAAATATATTTAATTTAATTTAATTTAATTTAATTTAATTTAATTTAATTTGTTTATTTCTTTTTCGTTTTCTCAACTTTGTTTTTTTCTCCCCGTCTTACAATAAATAAAGAATAACAGCAGAGCTTGTCTTTTATTATCTTTTACTTTTTTAATTATTTATTATAATTTATTATTAGTGCTGGCTGCTCTCTCTTCTGTTTATTTATTTGTTTATTTGTTTATATATTTAATTGCCTTTGTTTATATTTGTTTGTAATTTATTTATTTTTCATTACGTTGTCTTCGTTGCTTTCTATTTCTAATTTTATTTGTTTGTTTGTCTGCTTTGTTTATTTTGTTTGTTTGCTTTGGTTATTTCACTCGTTTTGTTTTATTTATTTTATAAATTTATTTTATTTATTAATTTTATATATTTATTTATCTGTTGTTTGTCTTCTGTTCTTCTGCTGTTTTCTTTTTCATGAGTTTAAGCATTTCTTCTTTTTGTTTGTTTTTTAATTGTTGTTCAATTAATTGTTTTTTTTATTGTTATTATTTGTCTTTCTTTTAAATTATTTTTATTTATTTGTTTTCTTCGTTATTTTTATTTATTTGTTTTCTTCATTATTTTTATTTATTTGTTTCTGCCTATTTACAATATAGCGCTGCCTATACAATTGTATAATATAGCAAAATATAATATATTATTTAATATAACACAATATAATATAACATAATATAACATAACATAGCATAATATAATATGATATATAATGTAATATATAACTATAAATATAATAAAAATATCTAATACAAAATAATGTTAGTAAATAATATATATAATGCAAACTAAAATAAACTAAATACAAAAACAATATTATTTGTTTTACTTACAGACAAAACAAACACAGCACACAAAGAAAAGACAATAAACAGCAAGCAAACAAACAAACAAAACAACAAAACAAAGCAAACAAAACAAACAAAACAAACAAAGACAAGGGCATCCACAGGGAGAGCAAAATAATTAAACTCAGCGGTACAACAGCAGCAGCAGCAGCAGCAGCAGGACTAGCAGCAGCAACAGCAGCAGCAACAGCAGCAGCAGCAGCAGCAGAACCGCAAGAAGTGGCAGAGCCAAGAGAAAAGATTAATAAATAAATATAATTATTATTTTAAACAGAAGAAGAGATAAAGAAAATTATTTTTTATTTTATTTCCTTTCTTCTTGCTGAGCAAGAGACCCTCGAAGGAGATGCAGCTGCAGGACTAGCAGCAGCAGCAGCAACAGCACTAGCAGCAGCAGCAGCAGCAGCAGCAGCAGGAGAGACAGCGTCTGCTTTCTGTCGCCTCAAGCGCATCGACTGCCGCCTACACAGCTGTTCTTCTGTTTCTTTTTCAATGTCTTTGCTGCTCTCTTCTTCTCCCTTCCTCTCATCTCCTTCTCCCTCCGCGCTCTTGCTGCTGCTGCTGCTGCTGCTGCTGCTGCTGCTGCTGGAGTAAGCGGATGAAAGACGCGGCCTGCGGGTCCTTACACTCCCTTGTGCTGCTGCTGCTGCTGCTGCTCTCGGGCTGTCATCTTCGTCGCACTGCATCAGCCCTTCCCCACTCCTGCTCCTGCTGCTGCTGCTGCTGCTGCTGCTGCTGCTGCTGCATATTTGGAGTTGTGTTTTATGCATGCAGTCTCTTTGCTGCTCTGCTGCTTGCATTTCTTCCCTCCCTGCAACTTGCAGCTGTTCATTTCTTCTGCGCTGCTTCAGCGGCTGACAGCGAGCAGGAGAACCACCTGCTGCTGCTGCTGCTGCTGCTGTTGCTGCTGCTGCTGCTGCTGCTGCGCGAGTTTTGTTTGTGTTGTCTTCTGCTGTCTTGTTTATTTTGTGCAGCATCATTTGCTGCTGCAGCAGCTTCTGCTCTAGCTGCCTCTTAAGCTGTGTTAGTGAGGCTATTTCTTGCTGCTGTGCAGCAGCAACTGCTTCTGCTGCTGTTTGCTTCTGCTGCGCCTCCCTCTGTATCTTCTTTGCTGCTGCTACCTGCTGCCGCAGCTTTGCTGCTTCTTCTTGTCTCTTCTTTTTCTCTTCTTCACACCGCTGCAACGCGTCTACGAGAGCGTTGGCTTGCTGCTGCTGCTGCTGCTGTTGCTGTTGCTGCTGCTGCTGCTTCTCACGCTGACGCTGCTCCTCTAGCTCCGCCGTCCGCTGCTGCAGCTCAGTTGCTAACTGCTCCTGCTGCTGCTGCTGCTGTTGCTGTTGCTGCTGCAGCAGAGTCTGCATCTCCTGCAGCTGCTGCTGTAGATGCTCTACCGCGCTTTGCTTTGCTTCTAGCTCTCTTGCTGCTGTTTGTGCTGCTGCTGCTGCAGCAGCAGCAGCAGCTGCTGCTGCTGCCTCTATGCCTGTCTTCTCACTTATTGCTTGCTGCAGCTCTGTCTCTGTCTGTTTGTGTGCTGCTGCTGCTGCTGCTGCTTGCGTCTGCAGCAATGATATTTGTTTGCTGCTGTTCCGGTTTGCTTCCGCTTCTCTCTCCAGCTGCTGCTGCAGCTCCTGCTGCTGCTGCTGCTGCTGCTGCAGCTGTGCTTGTTGCTGTTGCTGCTGCTGCTGCAATTGCTCCTTCTGCTGCTGCAGCTGCTCCTGCTGTTGCTGCAGCAGCTGCTGTTGCTGCTGCAGTCTGCTGTCTGCGTCTTGTTGCTGCTGCAGCAAATTATTTTTCTCGTCCATCGCAGCCTGGAGCAGCTGCTGCTGCTGTTGCAGCTGCTGCTGGAGCTGCTGCTGCTGCACCTGCAGCTGCTGCAGCTGCTGCTGCAGCGCCTCTGCAGATGCTTCTGCTGCCTCTCGCTGTTGTGCTTCTGCTGCTGCCTTTTGCTGCTGCTGCAGAACCTGTCCCTCTGCTGCTGCAAGTGTGCTGCTGCTGCGCTCGACTGTCTCCTTCAGTTCTGCTGCAGCAACACGCTGCAGCAACAGCAGCAGCAGCAGCAGCAAAAGAGAAGCAAACAAACACAGACAAAAGCAAACAAATGCAGCGGGAGAAAAGCAAACAGACAAGAAAGAAGAAAAAAGAAATAAACAAAAACAAACAAAAACACAAAAGAAATAAACAAAGAAAATAGACAAAGACAGACGCAAATAAAAATAAAATTAACAAATAAATAGAAATAGACAGATATATATATATTATATGTATATACAGGAACAAGTAGACAGACAAGGTTATATATATATATGCATATATATATAATTAATATAAATAATGTATATGTCTAGACCCAAACAGAGATAAGAACAAATAGAGCGAGACAGAGACAGAGCGAAAGAAAGAGAGAAATAAAGAAAGAAAGAAAAAATAATAAATAAAATAAATAAATAAAATAAATAAATAAATAAATAAATAAATAAATAATTAAACAACAGCAGACGCACAAGCTGTTCCAGTTGCTGTATTTTGTTTTGTATGTCTTCTTTTAAATTTATTATTTGTTTGTCTTTGCTTTCGCTCTCTGTCTTTTCCTGCTGCAGCTGCTGCTGCAGCTGCTGCTGCTGCTGCTGCTCTTGCTGCAACTGCTGCTGCAGCTGCTGTTGCTGCTGCTGTTGCTGCTGCAGCTCAGCACTACGCTGCAGCAGGTCCTGAAGAACAGCAAAGCAAAAAAAATAAATAAATAATAATTGTTAATTTAATAAAATAAAAACAAACAAATAAATAAAAGGGATAAGCATATAAAAGCATGCAGCAGCAGCAGAAACAAACAAAAAGGAGAAAAATAAACAAAGACAGAAAAAAATAAATAAGAAATAAAATAAAATAAAATAAAATAAGAAAGAAGAGAGAACGGCGACAAACAATAAACAAATATAAATAACAAACAAAAACAGAAATAAAACAAACAAAATAAACAAAACCGCAAAATAAATAAAATAAATAAGAAGTATTAAAGAAGTAAACAAAAAAAGAAAGAAAGATAAAAGGATATAAAGACAAATTATTTCTCGCTTTGTTTATATTTATTATTTGTCTTGCTTCTTATTTATTTTTTATCTAAACAAATAAAAAACAAATAATAATAAATAAAAACAAAGACAGAGAGACATACTGCTTGCGCTTGTTCTGCTGCAGCGTTTGCTGCTGCAGCATTTTGCTGTGCTTGAGATATTTCTTTTGCTGTTTGCTGCTTTATTTCTTCGAGTTGCTGCTGCAGCTGCTGCACTTTACTCCAAGCAGCAGCTAACTCAGCCTGCATTGCTGTGCGCGACTTTTCTGCTGCTGCTGCTGCTGCTGCTGCAGATTGCTGCAGCTGCTGCTGCTGCTGCTGCAGCAACCTGCACACGCGCTCCTCTCCCTCCGCAGCAGCAGATAATGCATTTGCTAAAGATAAATTCTGAGTAAGGGCTCTCTGCTGCTGCAGCAGCGACAGCCGCAGCAGCACACTGCATGCATCTTCAGGTGTATCGACAGCTCCGCTTCCCCCTGTGCCGTTCATCAGCATGCGGCGGCTCAAACTTAAATTCATTTCTTTTTTTCTTCTTCTGGAGCCTTAAAGCTCTCTCAGGATAGCTGTATATACACCCCAGCAACTGTGAAGCTGCAGCAGCAGCATATAGCTGCAACAAGCAGCAAGCAGCTAGCAGCTGCAGCTGTTGGCTTAGTCAAGGAAGACCGATTATTCTAAAATGCATGCAAAAGAAATTCAAAATTCACGAACAAACCTCCGGGTGTATGTGCAGATCCGCAGACGCCTCAGCTGCATGCGGCCAGCCATCAGGCAGAGCCTCTCAACGATTTCAGCGGTTTAAAAGAAGAAAAAAGAAGAAAATACTATTAAAAAAGCATTTAGCGTCAATATGAAGGAAAAAAATATAATATTAAAACATAATACAACGCAGACAAGCTAAGAAACAACACTCAGCTGAAGCCCCAGTGGTAGCGTGAGGTGGGGGGTGAGCGGGGGTTTGAGCTGCAGAATACGAGGAAATTGTTTGAAAGATAAATAAATTAAATGTATTTAATTCAATATTTAAAATAATATAAACAGAAAAACAAATATTTTTATCTAGGAGGGCCTCTCTGCTTGAGCGCAACTTGCAGAAGAACTTCGCTGCGTGTTGAGGTGTGTATACACCTGAAGAATTTGTATAATTCAGGAAGTTTGTTATTAATTGATCATATTAATTCATTACTTTTGCCTCTATATTTAATTTAAAATAATTAAACGAACAATTATTTTACTTTATTTTGTTTATTCTTAGGTTTCACGAAGAGAGAGTATCGAAGTGTGCAGACCTCAGACAGAGAAAACCTAAGGAAGAAACTTGTTTTAAAATTCAAAAGAAATAAAAATAAATTAGTAATTGCTTTAATTAATAAAATATTATGCATTAAAAGGGGTGTCTAGACCCATCATTCTCCTAAATTCAAGAAGAAAATAAAGAAAACAGAGAAGTGCTGCTCTACAGAAAATTTAAAAATAAATTTATAAAATGTACAAACACTCGCAGCTGCTGACAGTAAAAGTGAGGAGAAGAAACAACGCGTATAATATACTCATGATATATATATATATATATATATATATATATATATATATATATATATATATATATATAT